CAAAAGAGGAAAGAGAGAGGAGAGGCGCACACACACACTCACTCAGGGACAAACAGGCCAGCACAGGGCAAACAACAGCGTCTCGCCGCGGGCGCGAAACGCCAGAGGCGCCCACCGTCCGCCGAAACGCATCGCAGGAAAACAAAACTCAGTGATACGAAGCTGGTGAAAGGGCGGCTTACAGCGCTGCTGACCACGCGACCCAAACACACCCAATTAATAGTGGACACCTCCATGGCCGCACAGCACTCAGTGGAGTGCCGATACGGGCGCTGGGGAGCCACGCCAAGCCCGCGATTGGGACGGCAGTGCAATAAAAAAAGATATGAAAAAAAGAATTCAGCACATGTGGGGGTGACCACTGTGTGGCACACAAGAAGAAACGTCGAAACAAAAGAAAAAAGGTCACTGGACATCACACAGCGGCGCGCACAACAACGTCCAGCGACTCATGAAAAAAGAAAAACGAAAAAACAAGTCGACGCCCCCAGGACAGCTTGGAGCGTGGTGAAAGACCGGCACGGGCGCTGGGGAGCTGCGTCGCGCCCAGAACGGGGCAGCAATGAAAAACAAAACAAAAACGACTCCAGTGTTTGGGTGGCACACACACAAACACAGCACAGAACGCAATTATCGGGGAATCAGCGTCGACGTGGTGAGCGGTACTGCGCCGTCATCGCCGCCGCCTCCTCCCTCCGCGTATTGTCCAGCTCAATGGCAGCTTTGAACATCTTGTCTGCTTCGGCGTTCGCCGCTTCGAAAGCCTGTCGTTTCTCTTCGACGTCGTCCTCTGCAGCTTTGAGCTGCTTCCGTGCCTCCTCTTCCTCTTCGCGCGCTGTGCTGAACGTGTCCTTCCGCATCGTAGCAACCTCGGAGTCCCCAGAGTTGCGTCTCGCCGCCACGCCAGTCTGTTCAACACGGTGCGCCGCTACGGTGACGCGTAGCTTTGCGTGCTCAGCCTCCACACGTGCCAGCTGATCAGCGTCACGTGCATTCACCCAGTTTTCGTATGCCCTACTCGCAAGATTCTGCATGCGGGTCTCCCTCCACGCTTCAAACCGAAGCCCTTCCTTTGCGCCACGACCTGCCACCTGACGAGCCGAAACATCATCCACGGGCAGCGCCTCTGTCAAGACGCCCGCGTACGACTCCACCGCCGCCTCAGTGCCACGCCTCCTTGCATTGTAGAGTCTCCTCTCCGCAGCCACCACTGCCGTTCTCGCGAATAAAGCTGCATCCATCAGAACATCAGCCTTCGCCGTGGCCGCGGCCGCAGCCCTCTGGAGAATCTCAACACCAAGCCTTTCCCCATCAAGCTGCCTCTGCACATCACTACCCATCGCCCCCGAAGCGGTCTGGGCCTTGATATGCCACGGCAATATCTCGGTGTCACTGCGGCCTCTCCGCGAAAAACCGTCTTCGCCACCATAGCCCCTCGCTGCGCGATCCGTCGCGCTTGTACGTGACATCAGCGAAAGTGAATGGGAGACGGCATCCCTCGCACGCTTGGCCTCTTTGTTCGCATCCTCAGCAGCACTCCGCAACTTGTCAGCGTAGGCCTGTGCCTTCTCAAACTGCCTCGCTGCCTCCTCTGCGTCCAGCAGCGCAGCCGACACGCACAGCGACACGCAGCACAGCGCGAGAGCCAGCACGGACAGAACGTGGCGCCCCACAGTCATCATTGCCAGAATTGCCTCAGCAGGTGGTCTGCGCAAAAGAGGAAAGAGAGAGGAGAGGCGCACACACACACTCACTCAGGGACAAACAGGCCAGCACA